GAAACCCTATATAGAGTCATTGTAAATTGGAACCAAGTAGATGGCACTTAAACAACAGCAACATATACACACACAAACACACACACAAGAAGACTAGAAAACTATATACCAAAACGTTATCACTAGTTAACTTCAGATGGTTAAGATTATGGCTGCTTTAATTTTATTCTTCATACTTCCCTATATCATTTAAATTCTTTATAAAATACATACTATTATTTTATAATTAGGGGATGGGCACAAAGGAAACAGTTACATATGTTTCAATCAATCTATTGTCTTTCAGAACCAGAGGATGGCGTATTTGCTTCCTCAGGAGGGTGGGATCTCAGAGGCAACATGGCAGAGTAGTGAGAGCCAGGCACATCTGTGTCAGACTCTGGGCTCTGCCATTTGTAGTTGAATGACTTAAGGCAATAACTTCTCAGTTTCAGTTTCCTCAACTGTAAAATATGGATAAGGACATCTATATCTCATGAGGTCATGATGCAGAGAAAAGAATATGCATAACAAATGTCAGATGCTAAGCACAGTGCCTGGAAAATACCCTGGCTGCTCAATCCACACTGGATGACACTTGTGACATAATCTATGCAAATTACCTAGCATGATACTGGGCACCAACCAAAGGCTCAGGGAACATTAGTTTTCTTTAAATGGAATCTAAAAATTTCCCAGGGCCCATATTTTTCTTCCACATACAGACTTCCAGACCAGAGGCAGAAAGAAGCAAGCATTCAGCTCCATCAAACCTAAGCTAATCACTTTTGCAGGGACAGAGTTGCTTTGACTGTCATTCCACCTGCCAGCAAAACCTAAACTGGGCAGGTAAGGGCAGAATTGACCTGAGGGTCCAGGAGGCCAATGCTGCTTGCATGAATTGTGGTCATTTAGTTTCCACACAACCCTGTAGTTAATCCCTTCCAGCACTGACCCGGGTACACGACCTTCTTCCTCCTACCTCCTGCTCCATCCGCCACTGGCTCTCCTTCCTCATTAGCTCATCCCGGGCTCGGCTCCAATCCACAGTCAATTTTTCCACATCTTCCCGAAGGGCTTTATTCACCAAGTCAGCTTTTTCCATGTGTAAATGAAGTTGGGTGTTCACCTCTGCTAAACTCTCACACCTGTGTTGGGAAGGGGTAGGAGCAAGTGCAAAATAAAAGTCTGGTCCAATTTTTAGACTTCTTGAAGTAAGATGACAGTCACTGGAATTTTCCATTGCCAGGAATTAGAGGCTAAGGCTGAAATCCATGGTTCTAACCAATGTTAGTTAGCCCTCAGGACAGAGATTTCTATCAGCCTTGCCAACCCGCCAGCCAATCATGCAGGCCAGGGAATTTGGGGTCCATCACCTCTGTTGCTCATCCTCCAATCGGAGTAGCAGCTGTTCCAGGTTTGGTTCCTCCACGCTTTCCCACCTCTGAGGAATTAGTCCCTTGGCCAAACAGAGATGAGTTTTACTTATTTCAGAGCAACTCCTGATGCCCATTCAACACCCGTATATTTATTTTTATTCTCTCTCCCCTTTCCTAGCAATTGTCTTCGTTTCTCAATCACTACATCCTGAAAGTAAATCTAATGCATTTCTCTTTCCCAAACTGAACCACTGACCGCTTCTGAAAGATGGCCTGTTGTTGTTGTTGTCGTTATGTGCCATGGAGTCGGTTCCGACTCATAGCGACCCTGTACAGGGTTTCTGAGGCTGTAAATCTTTACGGGAGCAGAAAGCCTCATCTTTCTCTCACGGAACAGCTGGTAGTTTCGAACTGCTGACCTTGAGGTTGGCAGCTCGATTTGTAACCACTACGCTATCAGAGCTCCTAAGACCTAAGTGCTAAGCACAAAACTTTAATGCTCAATTTATACAAATATAAATCTTCATGAATCTGTGTTGGTTGTTGTTGTTAAGTGCCATCGAGTCAGTTCTGACCCATAGAGACCCTGTATAGGGTTTCCGAGGAACAGCTGGTGAGCTTGAACTGCCGACCTTGCAGTTCGAACCAAATACGCTGTTTAGCACATGAATGCACAGCGCCATTTGTTGTTTTTGTTGTTAAGTACCGTGGAGTCGGTTCCGACTCAAAGTGACCCAGTACAGGGTTTCCGAGGCTGTAAATCTTTACGGGAGCAGAAAGCCTCATCTTTCTCCCATGTAACAGCTGGTAGTTTCGAACTGCTGACCTTGCAGTTTGCAGCCCGATTCGTAACCACTACGCTACCAGAGCTCCTTGAAAGATGGCCTAAGAATCATAAAATCTCTTTTTCACAAATGACCTTGACTTCTAACTTTAGTGCTTTGAAAATTTTACTTAACTTATCTGGGTTATAGTATCTTCAAATACAAAATGAAGGTTTTATAAACAAAGTGGCATAATTAATGAAATTGCCTAATGGTGCCGCACCTATCCATAGAAGATACTAAATTTTTATCTTTTCCTTCCTTTGAGAACTCTTCTGAAGGGAGTGGTAGAAGGTGCAGAGATGAAGCTGGAACAAATTTTAAAGACTGAGTTTTTCAAAGCCAGTTCTACCCAGTCAACAGCACAAATAAATCCTTCTACCACAAATATGTTTTTATCAATCTAAGGTCAGCAGTTCAAAAAGTACCAGCTGTTCCACGGGAGAAAGATGAGGATTTCTACTGTAAAGATTTACAGCTTTGGAAACCCTGTACAGAGTTGCTATGAGTCAGAACCAACTCCATGGCACATAACCACCACCACGACCAAGGCAGATAAACACTGACACCTGCTGGAGGAAAAATGCATTTATTTCCTCAAACATCGCCTTATCTGAATCCCTGAGTGGTACAAATGAGCTCATTGTCAAGTCTACCTGAAGGAGGTTCAGAAGAAAGGTCTGGCAATGTAGTCCTGAAAGATCAGTCATTGAAAATTCTATGGAGCAAAGTTTTATTCTGACACACATGGATAGGGTCACCCTGAGATGGAACAAATTAACAGCAACTGTTTCTGTTTTTCAACTTGATTACATTCCCTAAAGCTAAATTTCATCCTGAAAGAGCAAAGAATTGGAATCTGACAGGCTGAGATCAGCTAGGTCCAAGAAGATATCTGTATGATATAGTTCTAAAACTAAAGAAAAAATGACATCTATCTAACATCAACTTATCCAATCCCAGCTTCCCTCAGTAAGCAAATGAAGCCAATAAGTATATTCACTTAGGTCTCATGGGGAGCACAGAACTCAGCCTCACTCACCCCAGTGGCTTCCAGTTGCTTCTCCAGCTCTTGGCACCAGTTCCGGTACTGCAACACCTGTGACAAATAGAGCAGGTCCTGGGTAATGGGCACAGCTGACACAATCCAACCCAAAGAAACCCACCCCCATCGCCCTCCACCCAGGATCTTGGGTAAACCTGTTGTATATTGGGGAAGTGGGTGATTGAGTGAGGAAGCTGCTGTATATTGGACAAGCGGGTGATGTAAGGAAAGGCTATAGCATCGTACAGCTTCTACTTGGGCATTTAAATAATACTTGTAAAGGCTTCTTGTATCAGCTTTGGAACCAGAGTACCTAGCATCAGGTCTCAGCTCAAAACTAGGAGAACACTTATGAAAAACTAATCTAACTCCTGAAACCTCATCTTTAAAAGGGGCATAATACAAGGAGTCTTGGTGTGTTGCTGTAGGATAAGCATTGGACTGCTAACCACAAGACTGGTGGTTCAAACCCACTAACTGCCCCTCGGAAGCCCTATGGGTCACTATGAGTCAGACTCAACTCCACAGCACTTAACAATGTAATAACAATATGAGAAGGCTTCAAAAAGTGTATGGAAAAATGGCATTAAAAGATAATGGATTGTCAAACTGCAATAAAGGATGCTCGTTTATGTGGGGGAAAATGATAATGAAAATTTCCCATGACCTTTTTGAAACCCCTGATTCGTAGCTCCTAGGGTAATTGTGAGTATCAAGCACAAGGCTGTGTGTGAAAACTGGATGCCATACCTCACCACACTCGTTTGGTTCCCACCACATGGTTCTGCCTCCTGCAACCCTTATTCCATCTTGGCACCTAGTTCCAAGGGGCGCTCTTCTCTTTTTCCCTCCCAGAAAAGGCAGCTGCCTCACCTTGGCCTGCAGCTTCCGCACGAGGGTTGCTTGCCTCTGCTGGGCCTCCTGGGAGCTCTTCAGCTTTCTCCAGGAGGCTGCTTGGTTCTCTGCCATCTGCTGTTGTAGTGCCAGCACCTGCCCCTCCAGCATCAGCTGCAATGACTGGGGCTCCATGGGGTTCAAGCCAGGGCCTCCTGTCTCCATGGGTACCAGACAGTAAATGCACAGGCGCCTAGGCAACCAGAAGCTGTTCATTCCCAACAGGGTCTCTAGCCATTGCTGTGCCACTTCAACCTCCCTTTGAGCTGGGAACCCAAGCACACGGTGAAATTGAAAGAACTATCTAGATGATTCAAATTGATTCAACAAACGCTCATTAAGTCTGGCAAAGGCAGGTTACAGAAAGGACACAGGTTCCTTTACTACAGGACTCCTCAGAACCTTTGAAATACTCACACTCTTTCACATTGAACCTACGAGTTGGGATCGACTTAACGCCAACGGGTTTTGTATTTTTGGTTAAACTCTAAAGGAGTCCTGAGTGATGTAAATGGTGAATATTCTCCACCTTTAACTGACAGGCTAGAGATTCAAGTCTGCCTAGAAGCACTTTGGAACAAAGGTCTGGTGATCTACTTCTTAAATGTCAGTCACTGAAAACACTATGAGCACAGTTCTACTCTCATTAAAGTCACCATGAGTGGAATCAACTCACAGGCAACTGGTTTACTGGTCATCTCTAAGGGGACTACCATGAGCAGCATTTCCCAAATCGATCTGACCATGAGACAAGTTCACCTACAGCTACTGATTCACACTGCATCCCTAACACCTAGTACGGTGCCAAATAAACCATGGCCAAATGAAGCAATGAAAATGTTCTTAGTCTAGCAGGAGAGACAGACACAAACAATCACAGCACAATGTGGTATGAGACATCGCAGTATAGTATGGGAACACTAAGGAAGTCCTGCTGTGGCACTGCAGGATAAGCACTGGACTTCTAACCACAAGGTTGGCAGTTCAAACCCACCAGCCACTCCTTGGACACCCGGTACAAAGTCGCTATGAGTCAGAACCAACACGGTGGCACTTAACAACAAGAAGGAAAGGCAAACAAGACCTGGTGGCATGGTGATTATAAAGTTTTGGCTGCTAAGCAAAGGTTGGCAATTCAAAGCCACCAGCTGCTCCAAGAAAGAAAGTTGTGGCAGTGTGCTTACTTAAGGCTTAAAACTAAACCCAACGCACCGTGTTGGATCAATTCCAACTCTTAGTGACCCTATAAAACTCCATAGGGTTTCTGAGATTAAATCTTTATGGAAGTAGATTGCCAAATCTTTCTCCTGTGGAATAGTTAGTTGATGGGTTCAAACTGTTCACCTTTTGGTTAACATCCCAACAGTTGGCTCCTATATCTCAAAAGGTGATGATAATAAATCCATCATGTTGATGTGTGGCGCTGTATGATAAAGCACTGGACCACAAGCCCAGTTTGAACTACAGAGTTGGTGGTTCAAACTCGCCAGCTGCTGCTTGGAAACCCCATACAGGGTTGCTATGGGCCGGAATCAATTCGATGGCACGAAACTACAATGTAGGATGTTAATAAAAGGGGAAGAAGCTGAGTGTAGAGTATATGGAAACTCTCTGTACAATATAAATCTAAAACTATTCTAAAAAATAAGCTGTTTTTAAAAATGACTTCAAGTGTTCTACAATTGTTGTTCAGTGCTGAAGAGTCAATTTCGACTCATAGAAACTTCATGTGACAGAGTACAACTGCCCCATAGGATTTTCTAGGCTGTAATGGGTTAATGTGCCAGACTGCAAAGCCATTTGAACTTCAAGGTCAGTGGTTCAAGCTCACCAGCTGCTCCTTGGAAACCCTACACAGGGTTGCTATGGGTCGGAACCGGCTTCACGGCACTTCATAACAACAACAATCTTTACAGAGGAGTCCTGGTGTGGCACTGTGGGGATGTGTGCTGGACTGCAAAGTTGATCTGAACTGCAAGGTTGGCGTTCAAGCTTACCAATCGCTCCTTGGAAACCCTATACAGGGTCACTATGGGTTGGAGCTGACTTGACGGCAGTTCACCACAACAGTATTTACAGAAGCAGATCATCAGGTCCTTCTCCCACAGAGCTACTGAGTGGGTCTGAACTGCTAGTACACATGCACTCAACCACTGAGCCACCAGGGCTCTTTGTTTTATGATTAAAACTCCCAAACCCTCCCATAAATTATAAAACTGAAAATTCACTAAGACAAGAATAGAAAGGACACAGACAAAAATGACATCAAGAATCTTTCTGAAATTGAGATTTATCTCTGAGCTTCCTCGAGATGCAGTTTGACACCCCTTTATTAGTACACTGCCAGATCCACCAAGAAATAAACTAGCGGAGCTCCAAAGGAAAGGGAGGTTTCCATGTCCCTCAGAAACTGGGTTGCATTCAAATGACATAGTGGGTGTCAGTGTTCACTGCAAACTGTACTAAACAGATGTTATCATTACTGCAGGAATGGGGAAAAAAGTCACTTCTTTTATACATGAATTTATTCATGAAGTCCAACCCAACATCAGACACTCTGCCATACTAGTACTGAAATGAACAGGACTTCCTTCCATATTTTGCTGGAATCAGACTGAGGAGGCTAAGAGTCTTACTAACGACCTCTGGACAAACACAAGGAAATGATAGAAAAGTGATATACATTATGTAGTTAGTCTCCCTTCATCTAAAATATTTCAGAGAATATTTAAACAAAAAGTATTCAAAGTTAATAGAAGGAGAAGATGGAAAAGCTCCATTTCATCAGTGAAGACAAGGCCAGGGGCAGACTGTGGAACAGACCATCAATTACTGATATGCAAATTCAAAATGAAACTGAAGAAAATGAAAACAAGTCTAGGAGAGCCAAAATATGACCTTGAATTTATCCCTCCTGAATTTAGAGATCATCTGAAGAACAGAT